CGGACGCGAATGGCCGAGCATACAGCGGCGGTGAGGAAGAAAGACGCCAACTTCCCAGCCAGGTCGGGGCAGGCACGATGCCCAATTGGCCGTTAAGCTATCACTCTAGCATTCAGCCATGAGCTGCTATCTGAATCAGACAATGGACTGAAAGCTAGTCTTATGTCTTGCCGGACTAGGACTCTCGAAGTTAGCGAGTTAACTGGTCTCCCCTATTCTCTGCTGCTAGTACTTCTCGATTATTGTTCATTCCGACTACGAGGAACGGAGCTTAAAGTGAAAACGATTGTCTTTCCCCATTCATGCCCAGCCGGTTTCTCAGAGACTTCAATTGGTTGGTATATTTGGCCCCAAAATATGGTTGTTCTCATTCCGTCACCTGCACAGGCGTCTGTCGTTAGCGTTACCGCATTATTTTCAGGGAAACCGTTCGCCTTCAACCCCAAATTACAGGACTGATTTCTAACTTAGTGACTCATAAAACTTATTGTAGAAAATTATTTTGTCTGGACAGACTGCTTCGCGTTTTCCGACACAGGCCCTGGCTCAAGTTCTGAGAATATTGCCATGTAAACTGTGACAAGTCAAGTTGGCAGACGTGCGTTTTCAGCAATTTATACTCAGGCCTATACAGTTGGAATGGTTTCTAAGTGGCTTATGATCAGTACTCATCGTTACCACGCTAGCGACGTAGTGAGCTGGATGTGTTGAAGTTATTGTGACTGGGAGAGGGAGTAGCTAGGGTGGGTTGTGAGCGATGTCCATAAATCGTGTACGGGGAGTGAACCTAATTGTCAAATTATGCACAACGAACAGCTGCCATTAAGGGGTTCGAGCGCTATCTGATAACCACCTGCGGTCGGCATCAGTCATGGAAGAGAGAACGCCATTTACTAGTGTCTTCTGGCAACACGGCGCTGGATTCGGTACTAATCCTGAACATGACGCTTAAGTTATTTTTTCTCGGTTGACGCAGTTAATACTTCCCTTATGCCAATGTATCACTTCAACCTGCTACTGCGAGGATAGGTCAGCGTATATTTCCTACAGTGATGACTTTTTCATGATTGGTTTTTGTTGAATTGTTCAAAAACGGCAATCCTCTCAGTGGTGCCTCTAACTCAGGCCGCTTTCGTCTTTATAATTAACTACTATCAAAATAGAGGTTAGTCAATAGAGACTATACTTATCGCAGTGGCTTAAGGTAACAGGGATGCATTTTGTATATGCCATTTTCAGGTCCGATTACGTGTGGAAAGACAATGAGTGGGACGCTAGGTGGGAGGAAG